TATATATATATATATATATACACACACACACACACACACACACACACACACACACACACACACACACACACAGTCAAACCTCGGTTTTCGAACGTCTCGGTTCTCGGTGTCGGAAGGCACGCCATTTCATGGTAATTCAGTGCGACCAAAAATTTTGAGTTTTTTTATGCCTCGGATGACGAACAATTTTCGGTTCTCGAACAAACTGAGCGCACTTGAATGCACCACTTGACTCCTCTCGCCTTCCTTACACGAGGAAATGACGCTTCCTCGGGTAGACAAGGAAGTGACGCTTCCTCGTGTCGCTTTCCATTGTGAGCAGACGTGTTCAATAAACATTTTTTTTTTTAAAAGAGCGTGGTTTCGGTTTTCGAACAGCCTTCAGGAACGGATTATGGACGAAAACCGAGGTTTGACTCTATATGTAAAAATAGAACAAATCATTGAGTAGAGCGTTGTAACACAATGAAAATCAGCTGTAGTTTGTAACATTTTAACTCACAGGTTTTTATTTTTAGCATATCTATTCTAATTTTTAGTATAAGTCTCAATACAATCTTTATCAATATGGTCTGGCATTGTTCAGCCATAAATAAAGGAAAAAAAAACCCTTTTTTTTTTTTAAATATATACTGTAGCATGTCGACAAGCTCTTGAGAAAATGTAAACAAGGTGGCACTCCTAATCACATTGCTACTGAAAGAATTGTTTGCAAAGTGCCTTTACTTCAGTATCATGCTGTAAAGGTGAACATGGATCAAACTGGAATCCTTACCTTGGTCTGGCCTCAAAGTCTTGCTGCAGACAGACAGAAAGACAAAAACAGAGTAAGAATAAAATATTAAAAGTCATTGTGCAGGTGCTGTGGTAATAAAGTACAAGGTAAACAACATAATTCAAGTTAACTAGGGCCACTGCTGGTGTGGCTCTAAATCTGACCCATTTATTCTCACTCTCATTTTCCGATCAGAAGGAATGCTCCTCACTCACTCACTCCCTCCCTCTCTCCCGCTCATCCTATCATCTATTTATTTTGAGCAGCCTTTTTGGCAATGTTCCAATGTTATTTAAAAAAGTCAATAAACGTGACAATACAACTGTAGGAAATATTTGCAATCCAGTATCAAGAAAGACTCGTCATTAGCCTATATTTTAAGTTAAGGAGTCAGTAGTCACTCTTTAAATGCAAACAACTCTATAAGAGGTGATTGGGGCGGGGCGGGGGTCCACTAAATTTGCCCTCAAAATATGAACACAATACATGCAGTGAATCCAAAGAAATGCTCGCATAAAACTGATAACCTTAAAGCTATTTTTAACTAATTGTGCTCACAGCAGCTGCCTTGCATCATTCAACTCTTTGAAAACTTTGATTGTGGCTGTAGGACTCCACAATGGCTTAGAGATGGATTGATAAATATATACTCTCATTGGAAACAATGGAAATTGGAAGAATCTGTGTCGCTTTCAACACCGCTTATCCTGTAAAGCGTAGATGTCAAAGTCAAGGCCCGGGGGCCAGATCCGGCCCTCCATGTCATTTTATGTCGCCCGCAGAAGCAAATCATGTGTGTCAACTATCATGATTCTTGCTGAAATCCGTACCGAAATGTCAAATTGTCATGGCTAATAAATAACACTGAGATTATGCACCGGCTGTCCGATGGAAGCCGTAACTCCAAAGTGGCCCACAACAAAAAATGAGTTTGACACCCCTGCTGTACAGGGTCGCAGAGGGGGTGGTGGAGCCTATCCCAGCTGACTTTGTGTGAAAGGCGCACTACACCCTGAAGTGGTCGCCAGTCAGTCGCAGAGCACATATAGAACTAACAACCATTCACACCCACACAGTCACTGAGCAAAAACCGATCCCACGCTGCCTGTACACAAGTCTGGCGAGTGTACCGCTACACCATAAGCAACTTGCCAGAGAGATGTTTTCTAAAATATTTTATGTGACTCATTGCCTTGTTTCCGAATAGATTTATGTTTTCTATAATATATTAGAACATTTTTGGTGACTCATTGCTTCGTTTAAGAATATATTTACATAACGGATGCTCATCTAGTCGAAGTATGATGAGGTAAATGGTCTGGCTCTGCATGTACATTATATGGATCTACTGTAGTGCTACACTTTTCACTTTCAAGATACTTTGGCAGTTTTTTTGGTTTATAAGACAGCAAACATTAACATATGTATTTTGCTAAGTTTATAAAAGACTTCTGCATTTCAATTTAATTTAACAGGGACTTCAAATACTAAAATTGACATACATGGCAAAGCCCAAAATTCATGTCAGTTTTTGCAAAATGATTTACAGAGCACCAGATATCCTCTTTCACCGACTCCGATATCTCGCACAGCACCGATTGTACTGCAGAACTGGACCTTGACGACTGCCAGAATGAATATAGTGACACAGTCTCTTGCAGCCACTGAGACGTTGGAAGCACACAACACTTAAGAGAACTGATCAGTGTTGGCCAGTGAGCAGCGCCTTGCCATCTGGCCCATCAAGCTGAAAATTTAATGTGTGTTAGATCTCATTGAATGGTTTGTTTTAAATATTTGAACAGGGTGGGAGATTTGCTTGGGATCCAAACGTCCACCAGTGATATGCAAGCATCCCAAAAAGATGCAATCTACTGGCCGTACAACACATTTGTGAAGACATGTCTGTTCTTCCTAGTTGCTCCACATATGGAACCTTTTTTCAATGTAAGAAAGTAATAATTATAATTGGAGTGTAACTGGGGATGTGTTTATTCATTTTTATTCCGGTGTTGCTCTGAGTTTTCATAACCATTAACTGAGCTCAACTGATTCTGTCGAGCAGCTAGTAGGATGTGTGCTAAAAAGGAAAGCACTTTTATTTCTTCTTTTTCGTTCATACAGGAAACTGGACACTTGCGTCATTTTTTTGTGAGAATAGTATAATTCTAACTGTAAAAGCACAAAACTGGTACAAAATGTATTTTTAGTGGTGATATATGATGGTTGTGGCATTGAATTATCCACAGTATTTTTTTTGGATATGTGATTTCATCTATTATGATTCTTCTTCTTTACGTCCATTAACTGGAGTAAAACATTCAAAAACAACTAGAGCATATGACACATTTTGTAATAGTCAAAAGAGACTAAGTAGAACAATGCATTTGAATGAGGGATCATTTCAGTGGCCATATCTGGAGAGCCACCAGTGAGTAGTATCAGGACCCCTAGTTTAAACATTGAAAATGATGGGCCTGCTTATTCAATATCAAGTTTATCAACATACTTGTTTAGCAACATACAACATACCAAGGGCAGGGCTATTTAAGCGTATTATAACAGATTATTTAGGTAGAGCTGCAACAGATATACAACCACTACTGATGCCTTCCTTATCCACCGCAGCATCAAGACACCCTACACTACACTACACTACATTACACTACACTAAAGACACCCTGGCTGCTGATAACCTATGACAAATACACCAACGTGATGCTTTAATTTGCGGCCACAGAGCAATAAATGATTCCTCTTCGGTTTTTAAATAAGAGCTGAGGGAGCGTATCAACTGTGACTGAGTTTAAAAGGCATTGAAGACTGCAGAGATACTTCGGGGCTCTGGAACAATGACCCTCAGTGCACAAGCAGTGATCACACACTCCAAACACTTATTTAAGGACAGATGACTTCTATCTGTCCTGACAAACGACTGACCAGCATAAAAATAGAAAAAAAAATAGACACAGTATTGGTAATAGCATGTGTTCATGTGGTTGATTCCTTTTCATTAGAACCATACTCAATTTTTGTGTGGAGTATTAATCTTACCAGCAACTAGCATGTAAATGCTTATTGACAAGCTTTTCCTTAGAAAGCCATTCTGTGGTTGAACACTCACTACATTATTAAATGACAACAAAGGCATTGGCAATGTTTGCTTCATGCTAAGAATAATCAGAGATGTCAATTTAACCTCTGGGGAAGAAATTTGCTCTTTTCCATTTTGCAGATAGGATTGTTCCTCAGTTTTTTAGCAAGTCAGCCTTAGAATCAAATGAATACAGTGAAAAGAAATTCTTAGTAAGTCACGGTGTCCCATCACTGGCGAGCGATTTTTAAAAGAGACCAGTTGGCTCATGTTGTCCTTGGAGGCTAACTAGTACTTGGTGGCACCATGTATTTTTTTGTTGTTTTTGTTTATTTGTTTTAGGACATTGCACATTAATCGACATAGCAAAAGGGATATTTGTCATAAGTATGGTGAAATTTGCACATTGCGTTCTCTTGTCTCCCTCCCTCTGTGTCCTCTGCTCAGCCTCTCGTCATTAACTTTAAAGAAGCAGGTCGAGTGATTTCTGCAAGCAGCCAGTCATATTGCAGTGGGATGCTGCCCGCTTGGAATCCCCTCAAAAAAAAGAAAGGCAAAGCTCAGTACCGGTGACGGATATTTTTAGCGGCTTTTAAAACCTTGACTTTTTAAAACCACGATAAGCCGTCAAATTGGTCGCTGGCCCATGCCTATGGTGTAACCAACATTGACCCCTGGAATGAGCAACTGCCTAGTTATATGCGGCTTTCACTATTTATGGGGTGGGCCAGTGCCTATCCCTGTGAATAGCAGTGTTCCAATGTATAGTTTTAAGATGTGATATCGCCATTGAACATTAGATGGCAGATATCTTATACTGAACTACAGTGTATATTACAATGTGATAAATGCCGAATAATGTGGGGATTTAGAATGATATGTGGGACAAACATACTACAGTACCACAATAATATTAACATTTTGAAGTAGAGCCCTTTGAACTGAAGAAAATACATAAGTAAATGTATTTCCTGGTTGTTCAAACATTTTGTTGTTCAAGGCTGTGATCTTTTATACATGCATTGAGCATGATACATTCAGGTACTGTGATGTACACCGGTTCAATTGAAAATTAAAAAAAAAGACACGCACGCAGTTTGTCCATATTTAAAGTTTTCTTCTGTCATACATCTGGATAGGAAGTTCGTGGTCTGATGTGGGCCCCCGCCCCAGTAGCACTGATGAAAAACGGTGGCCCTTTCCATCATTTAATTTGTCTATCCCTGAACGGGGTCATTTAATTTTCATCAATTTACAATTAGTGTGCCGCTGCAGGCACCAGCTAGTGGAGCTGTGCTGTTCTGTCATGCTGACAACAGTCAACTTGTGATTACGGGGATACCTCCTCCCAGAAATTGTATTCAAGTGCTTCGTCTGTATTATTGACACTACTTCTGGACATGTCTCTGTGTGGCATTGCAGTTTTTAACTTTGTTCATGCAACAAACAACACTGAAAATAACCGTTAACCACTTTTTCACCCAAACAAGCACACGACTTGTAAAAAAATATCAAAAATCCATAGAATCAGAAATCCCCTCGAAAGGGAATAGCGTGACAAGAGATTCACTCAGGGGTGTAGATGCAGAAACTTTACTTTCTATTAGGGGTGTGCATCTCACCAAGTGTTCGGTATGTATCTCAAAACATGGGGTGTGACAGGATTTATAAGCAGTACATTTCAAAGTAGGGCTGTAACAAATGATTATTTCAAGAAATGTTTAATCTGTTGATCATTTTGTGAATTAATCGATGAATCGAATTTTTGAAATTTTTCAAATTTCCGTCGCTTTATTTAGAGACAGGAAATTGCACAAAACATAAACAACACATATACATTGGTCTATTTTTAAACAGAACTGCAAAAATTAGAGATTATTACTGTTGAGAAGCTGAAATTCAGAGGATTGGAAAAAATGTTTATCAAATGGTCCCCTAAATGTTTAATCAATGACCCATATAATAAATTTGTTGTTGATAAATATTTCCACCTCTATTTTAAAGTAAAACGATTTGATTTAATAAGGTACTATCTGCCCTGCGATTGGCTGGCAAACGGTTCAGGGTGTCCCCCGCTTACTGCCCGAAGATAGCTGAGATAGGCTCCAGCAGAGAAATCATTTAATGTGTGCTGCTGCATCTCATGCTGAAATATACATACACGTCTCTGTACACATGGGAGCAGACACTTGATTTCTGCCATGGGAGGTATTTGTTGTTTAATTGCCACATTGTAAAACACAATTAATTCTGTTTTGGACAATTGGATGTTTTAAAGAAATAATTTCTTGCATACTTGTGCACTAACAACAATGCGATGATAGACTGTACGTATGCCTGATGTGTTAACCTGTTTTCAACAAAGGTACATGGCACCCACCATGATCATGAACTTTTCAGCTATTTACATCTGATTTGGCATTTAAAAACAACCAAACAAACAACCAACCAAACAAATCAATGCACACGCGCATTCATACATAGATAATTAGGAAACCGATGCCAATACAAAGCATGTTTCCAGGCATGGCTGGGCTGGCTGAGCAATCATAGTTCAGAGTGAATTTAGTGAGGTACACATTGAGCATCACTAGAGAGAGGAGTAGGAAATTACATTAATTGTCTAGGCAATGTAAGAAGTACAGGAAGGCTCATGAGGATGGAGGAAATGTTACCGTTAATCTATGGCCTGGTCCCGATGCTTCGACGAGGGCCTCCGCTGCCAGTGCAGGACTAATGGTTGCTTTGTCCAACAAGCATAGCTGGTGTGTAATGCTGGCCATTTCTTCCTGGAGACGCTCAGTTTGGACATTGATCTCTGCAATCTTCTCTGCAGCAGATGCCGTCAGGAATGCCTCTTTGAGATCTAAAATGTGTAGGGCCTTCTTTTCTTCCAGAAATAGCAATCTGCGAAGCGCATCAAACTGACTGCTCACATATGCCTCCAATTCCACTGTGGACATCTGAGTTGTAATTGAAAGGATAGAAAAGTAGAGTTAAAGAATGCATCTCAACAACTATAGTCAGTTAGAAAACAGACATTTACTAGAAATCTCCTTGGATGATCTGGTAATGTGTTCAGACAATTAGCGGGAATAGATTTACTTTACTTTGCCGCAAATCTCATTTTTTTTTTCTTTTGTCGGTCATGTTGATTATTTATACAGTCAATGGTTGGAATTAATTTTGGGGGGATTTAATTTTAAGTCAGTGTGATCATCGTTGATGCTTTATGATGTCAGTTAAAGATTGAACTCACACAGGGAAACATAATGGTTACATACATACAGTATATAGTATATACCTGGGTGTGTATATATATATATATATATATATAAAATGAAAATACGGTATATATATACCGTATTTTCAGCACTATAGGGCGCACCAAAAAGTCTTCCATTTTCTTAAAAGCTCAGCGAGCGCCTTAAAATCCGGTGCGCCTTGTGTACGGTGATCACGGTAATACGTCGACTCCAAGATGGCTCCTTCCTGGAGACATGCTTCCAATGTTATAACTTGCTGTTGGTTCAGTGAACTGTGTCGCTGCTTTATCACATAAGTTTGTGTTGCAGCTCCGGAAAAAGGAGAGCTGTGGTGTTAACTTTTTAAAACAGTCTCAACAAATACAGGTACGTCTTTGTCTGTCTCTATGCCTTCTTCCGTTCGACTCGAGAGGCGTTCAAGACCGCCTCCGAAAAACGTAAACTAACGATTACTTCAATGAAACTACAAAAATTGAAAATAATACATCAAAACTGAAAAGCAAGAGAGGATATCACAAAATAAATTCTATAGCCCCCCCCAGAATTCATATTGTGATTTCATCATTTGTGAATACAATAAATAACTACGACTGACATCTGATCGTACTGTTGGAGCTACAATCAAGGAAATGCCAAAGCGTTTTTCGGAGGCGGTCATGAACGCCTCTCGAGAAGAAAAGAAGGCACGGAGACGGAAAAAGACGCACCCGTATTTGTTGAATAAAGGAGAGCTGTGGTTGTGGTTTTATTATTATTTTTTTTTAAACGCAGACTTTATTCATGGTTTTCACAGTCTCAACAAATACAGGTACTGTACTGTACATCTTTGTCCGTCTCCGTGCCTTCTCTTCCGTTCCACTCGAGAGGCGTTCATGGCCGCCTCCGAAAAACGTAAATTAATT